TGAACATTAGGAAATCATTGACCTTCTTAACACTCCCCCTCAAGTTGGAGAGTGAATGTCGAGAACTCCCAACTTGCGAATCATGGTAGAAAAGGGTTCCTTTCCCAACTATTTAGTGAATACATCCGCAAGTTGATTTGCCGAAGTAACAAACTTGGTTACAACTGAACCATCCTATATTTTGTCCCGAATAAAGTGGCAGTCCATTTCTATATGCCTGGTTCTCTCATGGAAAACGGGATTGGCTGATATATGTAAGGCTGCTTTGTTATCACAATGTAGCAATGCCGGTTTCAGATGCAATATTCGTAAATCCTTCAATAATGAACGTAACCAAGACAACTCACAGCATGTACCTGTCATGGCTCTATATTCGGCTTCTGCTGAAGAGAGTGACACTGTTTTCTGCCTCTTTGTTCTCCAAGAAACAAGTGAAGATCCTAAAAAAACACAATAACCCGTAGTGGATCTATGAGTCATTGGACAACCAGCCCAATCCGAGTCACAAAAAGCTCGCAGAGACAAATCATTTTGAGAAGAGAAAAACAAACCCTGTCCTGGAGCACTTTTCAAATAACGCAACACACGCAAGGCAGCTTCCATATGTGGTCTACGTGGTGCATGCATGAATCGGCTTAATACATGTACCGAATACATGATATCAGGCCGAGTAATAGTTAAATAAATTAGGCGTCCCACAAGTCGTCTATATTGAGATGGATCTCTAAGCAATTCACCTATATCAGAGAGCTTTATGTTTTGTTCCATGGGAAAGTTCACAGGTTTAGCACCCAAAATTCCACCATCCTTCAGAATTTCCAAAGTGTATTTCCGCTGTGAAATAGAAATACCTCTCTTTGATCGAGAGACTTCAATACCCAAAAAATATTTCAAATCCCCCAAATCTTTAATTCAGAAACGACTATGCAAAAATTGCTTAAGAGTGGATATAGCCTTGAGATCATTACCCGTAATAAGAATATCGTCAACATATATCAACAGGGTGGTAAAGGACTTTCCATTCCGACATGTGAATAACGAGTAGTCCGCTTTGGACTGAACATATCCGGCAGCTTGAACAGCTGTTGAGAACTTGGCAAACCATTGACGAGAAGCTTGCTTTAAACCATACAACGACTTGTTGAGGCGACACACCAAGTTCTCCCCCTGTCGCTGAAGACCAAGAGGTGGAGACATATAAATTTCTTCATGGAGATCACCATGAAGGAAAGCATTGTTGACATCTAATTGGTGAAGGGACCAATCCTGAGCAGCTGCCAGAGCCAATAAACAACGAACAATAATCATTTTAGCAGTGGGAGAAAAAGTGTCATGATAATCGATACCTCCCAACTGTGTGTAACCCTTGGCCACCAAACGAGCTTTATAACGCTCTATGGTGCCATCTGAGTGGCGTTTGATTTTATAAACCCAACGACATCCAATGAGTTTCTTGCCATGAGGGAGGGGAGTGAGAGACCAAGTGTGATTGGCTTCTAAAGCTGCCAATTCAGATTGCATGGCGTCCTGCCAGTGTGAATGAGAAGCTGCTTCTGTATAAGAGCTGGGCTCAACATCCTGACTAATAGTAGCAACAAAAGAATGATGTTGTGGTGAGTAACGATGGTAAGAGAGAAAGTTACAAAGAGAATACCTTGTACCTTTGGTGGAACCAGACGACGAAGGCAGCGACGGTTTGGGAGACGTCACTTGGTTGCAAACATAATCACGTAAAGCATGTGGAGGACTGTGATGTCGTTGAGAACGTCGTAAAACTGGTGCGGGAGGGGGCTGAACGACGCTGGCAGGAATGGGTTGATCAAAGTGGAGGTGGCTGGACTGCGGAGACACAGAAGGAGAATCTGGCTGGGTCATTTCTAATGGAGGGACGGGAGGGGGCTGAACGACGCTGGTAGGAATGGGTTGATCAAAAGTGGAGGTGGCTGGATGCGGAGATGTGGGGAATGAGTCGGAAATAGGAGGGTCAGACACAAAATGAGGAAGGATGGGGGCTGGAGGTGTTGGAATGGATGGAAGGGACGCATAGGGAAAAATAGTTTCATGAAAAACAATGTCACGACTAGTGAAAAATTTATGAGTGGTAAGGTCATAGAGAAAACACAACGTTTGGCTCTAGGAGCGAATTTATGAGGGACATGCACATCAGTAGCATAGGCAAGACACCCGAAAACCTTAAGATGGGAATAGGAAGGGGTCTTTCCATAAAGGCGTTCAAAAAGAGTTTGTTGGGAAAGAAGTGGTGTGGGCAAACGATTAAAGGGCTTAGAACATCTCAGATTACTAAGTTGATCATGTATTCTAGCATTAGTATGAGTAGGGGTTCCAATAAAATGCT